TTCATTTTAAATCACTTAGGTAAGAGGTTTGGCAAGGAAAACATCGGACTTTATAGAGATGATGGTTTGGCTATTATAAAAAGCCAATCCGCCCGTTTACTAGACAAAACTAGAAAAGAGCTACACAAAATTTTCGAGCAATTTGACCTGAAAATCACCGCCGAAGTAAATATGAACGTTGTAAATTTTTTAGATGTTACTTTCGACCTGATCAACGCAAAACACAAACCATACAGGAAACCCAATGACGATCCATTGTACATCAACAGACACTCAAACCATCCACCAAGCATTACAAGACAATTACCTACAGCTATCAACAAACGCATTGCACTTCTCTCATCGGACGAACAAACATTTAAGGAATCTACACCTATTTACCAGAACGCTCTTAGACATAGTAACTTTGATCATGAATTTACGTACACTCAGGATGCACCGCAACAGACACGTAGGAATAGGCAACGCAACATAATTTGGTTCAACCCACCATTTAGTAAGAGTGTTAACACGAACATAGGACGGGAATTCTTAAGTTTAATTGACAAACACTTTCCGCTACAGCACAAACTACACAAGATTTTTAACAGAAACACTTTAAAAGTAAGCTACAGTTGCATGAACAACGTTAAGTCTATAATCACCAAACACAACGCACATATAATTAGGAACAGTCAATCACAGAATACGGAAACTGACAACTGTAACTGCGACAACAAAACCACTTGCCCACTACCGAAACAATGCATGACCAACAACATTATTTACAAAGCAACAGTCACAACGAACAACACGAACGACACTAAACACTACATTGGTATGACAGCGACTACATTTAAGGAACGTTACGCTAACCACACTTCATCTTTTCGTCATAAAAAAGACTCAAACAAAACGGAACTTTCGAAACATATTTGGAAATTAAAAGAAAACAATCAGGATTATACCATCAAATGGTCAATTTTAAAACACGCTATTTCGTACACAGGGGATCAAAACGCTGCAATTTATGTTTGGAAGAAAAATTTTGCATTTTGAAAGACATAAACAAAGACAATTTACTCAATAAAAGAAGCGAAATTTTCGGCAAATGTCGTCACAAAAACCGGTTTCGAGTAAACAAGGTCGTTAACAAAACCCAATGACCCAAGCATGCATTGTTTCACCTAAGCATTGTTTCGCCTACACGCATTCCGCACATTCTTTCGATAGCATAAAAGCAACTTACAATTTCGAAATTATTCACCACCTGATGATTCCTATACGGATGAAACAGACTGTTGTGGTTTTTGAGGTAAAACGAAAAACTATATATATATATATATATATATATATATATATATATATATATATATATATATATATATATATATATATATATATATATATATATATATATATAGTATATATATATATATATATATATATATATATATATATATATATATATATATATATATATATATATATATATATATATATATACTACTTGTGCACCACAAGTAGTACATATATATATATATAGTCGACTACAATCCATGTTATTATATTAACATGCAATATACAGATCATAGAAGTCTGTAAGAGATTATATGTCATAAGGTAGGAAAAAAAAGTCAATACTTATCTAATTGATTAATACAGCTTGATAGGGTTGTAGACTTTAAGATTACAGAGGTGTTTGTTTTTGGCCGGAAGTGAATTATTCCATCAATTGTCCATACTTTCTCAACTTTGTTGTTGCAGTTATCATGTAAATATTTCAAAAGTTGTCTTCTTGTCTGTGTAAGGTCTTCTTGAATCCTGTATAGAGACCGACCATTCCGTTTTAGTAAGTGTCGTTTCCTCAATATCATGACTTTGGTATTATGCTTGGTAAATCGAATGATGATAGGACGTGCTATGTTGGACTTTTTTCCAACTCGGTGTGATCTACTTATGTCAACTTCTGAAATAGTGACACCCAATTCCTTTTGGAGAAAAGATATGACAATGTCATCGGTTGACTCAGTTGGGGCTTCAGGTATCCCATAAATTCTGATATTACACCTTTTTGTGTACTGTTCCAAATTATCGTTTTCATTTTTTAGCATGTTCACTTCGTTTTTGAGCTCCATCAATCCCGTCTTTAATTCAGTATTTATGGATTTGATTTCATCATGTAGTTGCTGCGAGTCAAAATCGATGCTTTCACCGAGGGATTTTTCTAATTCTGTTGATGACACATATTCGTCAATATGCTTTTTAACAGCTTCCCCTGCTATAGACTTGATGACTTCTGATACAATCGTAGGTAGAGTTGTTGTAACCCAATCATTCAGCTTAAGCTCAAATTTCTCCCATATGTTGTTTAGGTTCTCGCCTTCCTCAGTCGCGTTCTTGTTCGAATTTTTTGATGTCCTTGACATTTTGGCAAGTGTATAACTCAAATGTGATCGGTTTTGTTATTCAAGATATAGTTAACACAAAAATATATTTAATAAAGTACATAAACATACTCAATTTGTGCTAAAAAATATAAATATTTCACAGAGAACATTTTTTCATGACCGCCATCTTAGTTGGTCACGTGCGTCCCGGTAAGTACGTGTATTTCACGTCCCTCGTAAGTACGTGTATTTCAATCATAAATGAAATGTTATCGGCATGTATAACTTTTCGGGTAGGAACCAAATGCAAGGTCTTGATTATAAACTACTGATATTTAACAATATTTGCCTCACATAAGTTTTATTTTCATTGATAAAACTACCGTACAGTACACGAAAAGTTTAGTTATTATATACAATGACACACTATACTGTACATCATTCTATATTATCAATACTGAAACTCTCTACATGGTTTGGCTTGCCCCGATTTAATTCTTAGGCCCCGTTTACACTATACCGGATTGCTATTGGAGTGGGTCAAATTTTGTAGGTATCGAAAGGCTGTGAAGATTTTTAATCTCAGAGACTCAAATAAACATGCCAATACTGTCAAACTAATAAGTATTTGCTACTAACCATTGCTCCGTAACAGCAAAAGAAGATGTCGTGACCAGCGAATCCGGTATGGTGTAAACAGGGCCTTAAATTGCCAAAATAATCGATCATACCAACAGCAATGAGCCAATGATATCCTTTGTCGCACATTTCTCTAAGCATCTAAAACCCTTGTATGCCCTACCAAATCAATCATATTACAAAACAACAGAAAATAGACGCCATTTCTAAAGCGCAAAAGTATCAAATTCCAAATCATTGACAACAATTTTCCCACAATAATAGGGTTTTATTTGAAAATTTTGTTCGATGATACTTGTCAGCCATGTTTATATTACGAATACATATGGCTTGAAGGGGTAACTAAATATGGATAAACACTGTTGTTACACAAGGGGTAACTTTTATTTAATAATCTGAAATTATTAACATTAATTGAAACACCCTCTAGCCTATTACTGAATTGGATTTTCATATATTACATTGTTGACTTAGGGAAGGGGGGTTAGGACTTTTGACATTTGTTTGCGCTTGCGCAGTTAGTTTGTTTTTATTTGATCAGAGAGAACATTAGCCATTGTTAGCCATATTTCATACTTTTATATCTCGCTAAATTTGAGACTATCTGTTACCGTTTTAAATAATTATTGAAGAATTGTACACCAATCTGTTGAAGTTTTATTATTCGGTGAGCAGGGTTAGTGAGATTCGATTTAGTAACAGATATCGACGCCTTCCTAGCACTGGAATTTAATGGATTTTGCAACTATTTACTGACCAAACAAAGGATACATCATGGAAAAAATGGCTGAGGAATTCGACAAAATTAAACGGAGCCGTACGGCACACAAAGGCAGGGTAACCTCTTTATTTAATCGGTTAAATCAGTTATCAAAATTGGAAAGTGTCAGGGAAGATAAACTATCCAGTCTTATGGAAGATTTGGCCTTATGGAAGATTTCAAATTTCGAAATCTTTGGATTTTAATCAACAAATGGAAGATTTATTACGGGAATCAAATCTATTGTTAGATGACAAGGAAGAAAATAACGTCATTCTTAGCAGACATTGAAGAGACAAAATCACAACTTTTACAACAAGAACTAGAAGCAGAAGCTCTTTGTACTTCAATGAAACAAAACAATTTGACACAAGGACATGCTGAAACTTCCAACAGCCCAATAGGGATGGAACTTTATACTGAAGCTTTAGTGGGGGGTTCAGACCAAACTAACTGAACTATGTACAAAAACAAAAAACTGGAGTGACACCACTCAAATTGACAGGTTTGAACCCGCCATCATGGGATGGGCAAAAGGCAAATTCCTACATGTGGAAAGATATGTTTACCCATACTATGTCTCAAGCTCAAATGAGTGATGATCAAGTTCAAATAACATGGCTTCTGAGGAAGGGAACCATGCCACCAGAGTATCAAACTGTAATTCAAGATTGTAAATCCATGAAAAGTGTCTGGGAGCGATTAGAGAAACAAATTCCAGCTTCAACGGTCCGTCACGAAATTATTCAAAATTTTAAGCAGACTCCATCATTACCACCATGGCCAAGCTCCCAAAGGAATGCTTCTACCATGAGACAGTTAACAAATGTAATTTTTTTTTGTTCGAAGGATGGACGATTTGGGATTAAAACAAGATGCCATGTCCACCATTTGCTTTGAACATGCTTGTAATCGATTGGATCAGGAAACCGCTCAACGTTATGCCACGTACTGTCAACTTGGGTAATCACAGGGTGTAGTTGGTGGTGAATCTACGGAAAGTTTAGCAGATCACAGGGTGAATCTATGGAAAGTTTAGCAGACTTTTTGAGATCCGAAGCAACTACTTTAGATCGATTAAGACTTTCAAGTTGTCCACCAGTTAATACTGTGAAATCACCTAGAGCACATCTCAATGTCTTGCAACAAGAATTGAAAGGAACAGGTTTTCCAACTCAATTCCCTTCTAAGAAATGCATTTTGGGATGTGAGATTGCGCATCGATTACTTGACTGTCCAATATACTTGCAAAAATCAGTTAAAGATAATGAGAACAAAGAACTGAGACAAAGAACTGCAACAGGAAGATAGAAGATAGAAAGTGTGTTACATGTGGTGGGAAACAGCATCACAGGACATTGTGCCCCTTCCCAATAAAGAACAATGATCAAACCACTCCACTTAATCCATTGGTAGGGGAAATTAAACTCGAAAATGAGACACCAATAAATAATGACAATACAGTTTCAGGATCAGTTGCAACCAGTAAGAATATTCAAGATAAAGTTGATTATCCCCCCCCCCCCTTACTTGCTGTTAATTATAGATCTGCAGACGGTGTTTGGATTAGAGAAAATTGCTTTCTTGACATGGGGAGTGATACCACTTAGAAATTAAACCCCTCGGATCAGACGAGCATTCGTACAATATTGTCGCATTGTCAGTAGAAATGCCGTGCTTTGATGCCCCATACCTTCTAAAGTGTTTGCAGAGTATGAATACCTTACACCATATGGTGACCAAAT